TAAGGGATGGTAAGGGATGGTAAGGGATGGTAAATGATGGTAAGGGATGGTAAGGGATGGTAAGTGATGGTAAGTGATGGTAAGGGATGGTAAGGGATGGTAAGGGATGGTAAGTGACGCACCTGGAGCGGCGCTGAGGGGGGTGCGGGGGGTCCCCACCCCGCACAGGGCCGGGAGGGCTCCGTGTGCGGCCGAACCCGCCCCGGGGGCCGGGCAGGGACAGAGCCCCTCCCGGAGCTTCTGCACCGCCAGCCTCACCGCCCTGCCGGGGGGCTTCTCCCCGCGGGGCCCCGTGGAGCGGATCAGCACATCGCCCGCCGTCAGGCTGACCAGGGAATCCCGGCTGGAGCTGGAGCCGCTCTGCGCTTCCATGGAGCTGGGTGGGTGGGTGGGTGGGTGGTGGCGGGGGATGGAGAGGGAAATCTCACACAGTAGCGGCCTGAGGGCTCCGGGGCGCGGCTCCCTCGCAGGTCGCGGGCGGGCCGCCGTGCCTGGCGGGCAGAGAGAGCTCAGTTCCAGCTCCGCTCCCCGCCCCGCTCCCTGCCCCGCTCCGCCTCAGCCGCTCCCGCCGGCGGCGCGCGCTGCCATGGCCACCGGGCGTTCCTTCCCCTAAGAGCGTCCGGCGGGAAACGCCGCTCCCGGCGGGAGGAGGGGGAGCGGGGAATCGGCCGATTCGTCGGTTCTTGTGGCGAATCTGCGGGGCCCGTGCGGGGCCGCGGCCCTTCCCGTGCGCCCCTCCCCGCCCCGCGGCGAATCTGCGGGGCCGCGGCGCGCGTGGGGCCGGTGAGTGCGGAGGGGACGGGACGGGACGGGACGGGAGTGTTCCTGAGGGACCGGGAGAACCAGGGAGAGACAGGGAGTGTTCCTCAGGGACAGGGAGGTGTCCTGAGGGACCGGGACAGTTCCTGAGGGCCCAGGAGTGCCCGTGAGGGCCTGTGAGTGCTTCTGAGGGTCCGGAAGGGCTCCTGAGGGACAGGGAGCGCCCTTGAGGGGCCAGGAGTGCTCCTGAGGGGCCGGGAGAGCCCGTAAGGGGCCCAAGAGTGTTCCTGTGCGGCCGGGAGGGCTCCTGAGGGGCCGGGAGCATTCCCGAGGGACCAGGAGAGCCCGTGAGGGATGGGAAGAGCTCGGGAAGGCTCCTGAAGGCCCAGGAGAGCCCGTGAGGGATGGGGAGAGCTCGGGAGGGCTCCTGAAGGCCCGGGAGAGCCCGTGAGGGAGCGGGAGTGTTCCTCAGGGACAGGGAAGGCTTCTGAGAGACAGAGAGTGCCCGTGAGGGTCCAGGAGTGTTCCTGAGGGACCGGGAGGGCTCCTGAAGACCCGGAAAGGTTCCTGAGGGACAGGAGCGCCCTTGAGGGACCGGGAGGTGTCCTGAGGGACGGGAGCATTCCCGAGGGACCGGGAGAGCCCGTAAGGGGCCCAGAATGTTCCCGAGGGCCGCTCGTGTTCCCTGAAGGACCGGAGCGCTCCCTGAGGGGCCGGGAAGGGAAAGGCCGTCCCTGCCCGGGGGTTTTCCCAGCGCGGAGAAGGGCGCTCCGTGCCCAGGGTTGTGCCGGGGTTTGGCTGAGCAGGGGGAACCCAAGGTGCCCTTGGAAGGGGGAGCTGGAGGATGGAGTGAAAGGGAAAAAAAAAAAATCGATGCGAAGTTTTTTTATCTCCAGGTTTTGATTTGGTAGGGTCAGAAGCGTCAGCCAGGTCTGATCTAACTTAAATAGGAGAAAAGGTGTGTTTCCTCCCAGGACAGGCCCTCGCACGTGTTCGGTGTGTTCAGAGAGGCTCTCGGGGCTCTGATTTAGCACTGACTGTGGTAACTCACCTTTGGTGTCAGATTTCTACAATTCATCTCTTTTCCTTCAGGGTCCAGCCCAAATCCAAGAGACTGTGGGTTAGAATAACCTGTGCACCAGGTACAGCTGCTTATCCAGCCTCCTTCTGACCAGCCCCTTTCTCACCTCACCGTGTGATTCTCACTTCTCTAAAGGCCCTTAGCCTCTTAAAATCAATTAGTTTGTTTTTTTTTAAAATCTAATATCAATCAGGTTTTAGCCTGATGATCCCCAGCAATAAAGAGAACTTTATAGGCTGTGGGGGCTTTATCTTGATACAGTTCTTTGCATCTGTATTTTTATTCTTTATCTCGACACAAGTCTTTGACTCAATGTTTTTATTCCTCTTTATTTTGACACATTCCTTTGACTTGATGTTTTTGTTCTTCCTTGTCCTTTTCAGAAACACTCACGTGGTGTTCACTGTGTACAGCTGGAAGCAAAGGCTTAAAAAGATATTTATCTTTATCTTGATAAAGTAGGTGTTTACCTACATGTAATTCAGATGTTAATCAGGATGGATTTATGGAGTCTCTTCACCACCTCTATCCCCAGGAAAATGCAGCTCCTCACAAAAAGGTGGAAAAATTCCACCCCAAACACAGGGCTTGCTTGGCTTCCATGGGACAGGATTCTCCTGGCTCCAGATTAGGTCATGGACAGGAATGGTGGTTACTTGGGTGGGAAAAGAAACTTCTTCCAAGTGCTTCACCTGTATTAACTCCAGACTGGTGATGGAGGGAGGCTTTTTGGTCACCCAGCAGTACAGTAATTACAATTAAAAGTTGTATTCCGATTATTAGCACTTAGGAGTTAAGATCATGATCCCCCTGCCCCCAGAGGTCTGGAGACACAGCTGGAGAGGCTGCATTCCCACAGATCAGAAGTTTTAGGAGAGTTCTGACATCTGTAGTTCTGGCTCCTGTTCCTCCTGCCGTGCTCAGGATCCTTCACCTAATCACTGGTTTTAGTTACAAACCAGCTTTTCCTTAAGAAGTGGCCTGTGTTTATGTTTCCATGGCAATGGGAGTGGCAGCCACAGCAGAGGCAACTCTTGGAAGCATTTTCCAGTTTCTAAAACTGAGCTGGGAGCTGGGGTGGATCTTGCACAGAGAACAGGTTTGAGTGGGCTAAAGGGTGTATTTGTGGAAAAAGGATGGAAAACCCATAATGCCTAATTAAGAGACACCAAAACCTCAGGTTATCCTTAACTGCTTATTTTACTCAGAGGGACTTGTCTTAATGTCTCTTCAGAACATCAGAACATATCTGGAACGGCTCCAGGGCCTTTCCAGAAGGGAGATTTCTCGGGCTTGCTCCTTTCCTGGTGACCCAGCACACCTGGACCACGTGGCCCTTGCAGCAGGGGTTTAATCAGAGATCTGCTTCCTTCCGTGGGACTTGTTTAAAAGTGCAGTCCCGAATTTCCAAATCACGTTTAGCCCAGAGGAAAGTCATCCAGGCTCTCTAGGGTTAAAGCTGAGCACTCTGGAGGGGTGTGAGCAGCTCTGTAGGGAGCTCTGAGGGGGGTCAGTCGAGATGCCAATCCTTGGAATGGGCTCTGTCATCCCTGTTTTTTAAGCATTTTGTCAGAGGTTGGAAGGGAAAGGGAGAAACAGCAGGAAAGCTTGAAATGATACATTTACCAGACATTAGAGCAAACCATATATGCACATTCCTGGGAATGCCCAGGTAGCACGTTTTTAGGTGTTCAGGCCTGTGATTTACAGCTACAGGTGCAGCAGAGCTGTGGGATTTCACTGCTGGGCTGTGGAACCTGTGAAACACCTGCACTGGAACAAGGGCTGCAGACACTGACAGTCAGATGGTGCCTTTGTGCTGATGTGAATCAGAGTCTTTCCCAGGTGTCAGAGCTTTGTGAAGCTGCAGTTTCAGTCTGGAGTTTTGAATCTTGCCAAACTAGTCCAGAAAAACAGACCAGGTTTGCTATAAACAGAAATTACGAAGCGACACCGGGTGTGAGAAAATGGCACTGACTGTTGAAGCTTTGAGCTTCCTGTGCTTGGCAGAGGGAAAAGTCTTTCCTGTGGTTTCTGTCTCTTTAATTATCTACCTACACTGACCTGGGAGAATTGTCACTGTCCTTATTTTCTAACAGGCTGAGAAATGAGAGTGGAGTTGCCATCCCTTTTCACCAGTTGTTGTCCCCCATAACAGATGTGTCCTAAAACAAGTTAAAGGTTTACGATGGAGAAGGAAAGGCTGGAGAGGGACTTTGGACAAAGGGCCTGGAGTGACAGGACAAGAGGGAATGACTTCACACTGACAGGGGGCAGGGATTGGATACTAGAAAGAAATTCTTGGCTGTGAGGGTGGTCAGGCCCTGGCACAGGTTTGCCCAGAGAAGCTGTGGCTGCTCCATCCCTGGAAGTGTTCAAGGCCAGGTTGGATGGGGCTTGGAGCAACCTGGGCTAGTGGAAGGTGTCCCTGCCCATGGCAGGGGCTGGAACTGGATGATATTTAAGGTCCCTTCCAACCCAAAGCAGTCTGTGATTCAGTGACAACCTGAATAACATCTTGTTTCTTCTTAACCACCATATTCTGTAGATTCTCCTTCAGAATAACCTGTGTGCCCACGAGGAATTCTTGGTTGTGGGGATGTCCATCTTAAATCCAAGAATCATACGTGCACTTTGACCTCCAGTCCCTGATTTGGTCCCTGTGCAGGGACACAGTGTGATGTTAAGAGGCAGATGTCACAATCCCTGTGCTGCTGGGAAGGGGTGTAGGGAGAGTTCATCCTTGTGAGAGCTCCCTGGTGCTATTTTTAGTTCCTTAGTTTTCTTTCTGCTGTAGAAATAATTGTTACTGTCCCTTTGTTCTTGTTCAGGCACCTTGTGTCCCCCTTCCCTTCCCCCTGCTGAGAGACTGGAATAGTTAAAGCTTTCTAAAACATGAATGTCTTGCCCAAAATTTGGCAAAGCATAACAGAAGATTAATTGTGAGGAGCCCTTGCAGAAGGGCTAAATGAAGTTTTTTTCCACAAAGTGATTACACTTCAGTGCTCATTCTTCTTCCACAAATTGATATGAATTAGACTGAAGGAGCTTCTTCTCATCAACATGTGATATTAGTTTGCACTGTTGTCTGTGATAGGCCTTAGATAATATGGAAATTAAGGGAAAAGGAAGATGAGGTTTCAGTATTCCTCCAGGAAACATGCAGGGATGCTTTCAAGCCTTAACTTGTTTAGTGTGCTGGATTAGGAATGTGAGTCTTCCTTGAGGATGCTTGCTTAAATTCTTGGATCGATGTTCCTTTGTTTCTTTTCCTTTAAGGCCATTCTCATTCTTCTGTGTTTTCTGAAATTTAATTCACTCCAGTCAAGGACCAGAACATTTGCTGTTGTTTTAAGTGCTTGGTGCAGCTACAACAGGAACCAGGCCCTGCTGCTCTGAGTCAGCCTGGCTTGTGCTGCATTTATTCACAGGGGCTGCCAGTTTATTATATTTGCCTTTCTTCCTTACTTTTCACAGATGGCATCTAAAGTCTGAAACTCTTAAGGCCAGAAAATGTTATGGCTTTGCTTCTCCCCCAGCTCCTGCCCTAGTTTTACTTTGTGAGTTTGACAGCACTTAAAAAACATAAATAAGGTGTTTTATAAGTTATTTCAGCTGTTTGAAATGCCTTAAAGTGTTTCAAGGACAGCAATTAACAGGTGGATCTGGGAAGGTTTTGTACCTGGAATTGTCGTGGATGTTCTTTTCACTGAATACATTTCAAACAGGTAACTCCCCTTTGAGGGAATGGCTGGGAAGTTTGCCAGCAAAGTCCCGTTTAAACACACTTCAGGGATGTATAAAATTCCATTCTGATGTAAATGTTGCAGCTCATATTTATGCTTTTTGTGTGAAAACTCGTCTTTTGTCTTCAGAACAGGTGACTGAGCCACAGGTGGTGGAATATGGCTGGACAAATATCAGAGTCTGACCAGATCAAGCAGGTGAGATGTTCTATTTGTGAGTGGTGGCTTTGAAGACCTTTTACTACTTTGTCACATTGAGTGACAGGTGTAGGGCATGGGGAGGAAATGTGAGTTACCATCTGGGTTAAGAGTAGTTCTGTAGCAACCAAGATTTCAACATTTGACTGTTGACAAGCACAGTTTAGTATCTGATTCAAGCAGGGGCAGCATTTCATGCTGAAACCTTCTGACCAACAGTAAATTTTTCTAGTGACTTACCCTTTGGTATCAGTGTCACCAGCTGGGCCAGGTGGGTGTGTGTAAGAAAAATTAACACAGAATTTGGTTTTAATACTCATTGTCCAGTTTTTATTTACAGTTCAAGGAATTTCTTGGCACATACAATAAGCTTACAGAAAACTGCTTCCTGGATTGCATAAAGGATTTCACCAGCAGAGATGTGAAACCAGAAGAGGTAGGTAATTGCATGTTTGTCATGGTTTGAGATAGCCCCAAAAATCCAATTCCCTTGCTCCATCCCCCCTCCCACATCTCAACCCAATGTGAGATGGGTTTTTCCAGACAAAACACAACAGACTCAGGATGGGGGAAAGGGAGTATATTACAATGACTGTACAAATAAATACTATAACACATTATACACACGATCACAACTCTCTCTACCATGACATATAGTATTTACAATGGATCAGATCTCCTCTCCCCTCCAAATAAAAGTCCAGGAGGGAAAGAAGGACAGATCCCTTCCAGTCTCTCAGGGCAGCAGCTTCTTCTAAGGCAGCAGGTTCTCCTCATCTCATGCATGCAGCAGCTGATATCTGGATCTCTGCCAGCACTCAGGAGGGGGGTATCCCCCTCGGCCCCTTGACACAGGCAAAGGGATCTTCCGTGGGCTTCGTTACCCCAGACAAGGCCGTTCCACCACGGTCATATCACGAAGCACAGGGGGTCTTCGTGACGGTCTGGTGTCTCCAGGAGATTGAAGCTCCTTGCAGGGCCTCTGTGCCCTGTCTCAGGCTGCGAGCTTCTTTGTAGCTTGCAGCAAGGGAGGGCCCCCAAGGCCAACCTCCCACACCGTCCTGGCTCAGCTCTCAGGATGACCGAGCTTCTCAGCTCCTCTCTGCAGTGCATGTTGCACTTCAAGGCTCTTTCAAGTAAGAGTCCATCATCCTCCTCCTCTCCAGGAGGTCTCAAAGGAGTTTGGGGGGTCTAATATCAGTTCTTACCCCCAGAACTCCGTAGTTCTGCTGCTACCTTCTGCTGCTTCCTCCGGTTCAGTTCTTATCTGTCCTGGCTCTCAGCCATAACCTCTGGATGCTGCCGCCGCTTCTGCTCTGTCTCTGCTCACTCAAGATGGAAAACATCTCCCAGCTCACAGCTACAGACACATATTCCAGCTTAACACTGTTCCAAGTCTCTGTAGCCCCCAACTGGGGCTGGGGGGGGTGGCCCAGAGGCCCCGAGGGGCTCCGGGCCCCTTTCCTCATGGCTGTTACAACATGGCTACTTCTTCTAACAACCAAACTACAACTCTTCTCTTTTGGTGCTTGTGATATGTTTACATTTCTGCAGGAGCACTCATTGGACAGAACTTCAAAACTTCCAGGGGTTTCCACCCCTGGGGGTTACCACTTTTCTTAGTCTCTGGGGGAAAACAAGGTTCAAACCACTACAATGTTGCTTCCAAGTGAGTGTCCCATCCCTGGAAGTGTGCAAGGCCAGGCTGGACGGGGCTTGGAGCAACCTGGGCTAGTGGAAGGTGCCTCTGCCCCTGGCAGGGGGTGGAACGAGCTGGTCTTTAAGGTCCCTTCCAACCAACCCGTTCCAGGAGTAGGTTGTTGGTACTACACACACAGGGAACCTGCCCCATCTCTGTTGAGTACTGGCTTCTCATTGCAGTTGTGTCGTTCCCTGAGCTGTCAGTGGAGGTTCCCCACCTTCTGATGGGCAGTGACTCCGTGGACACGGAAGTTGCCTCCAGCACATCTCAATCTTTGAACAATCCCACTGAAACAGTTGTTTACTTACCCACATTCCTGCATTGCAGTGTGTCCTGGGAACATGGGCCTGCACGGCTCTGGCTGTTAAATCCACTGCTCTGCACTGCAGGGAGCTCCATCACAGAGTCACCTGCAGAAAACATTAAGCTCTCAATGAGATTAGTTGCATGTTTTTGCTTCTGCTCCTGTTGAGAGGCTGTTTCAGAGTTAATAATTTTGTTGGTTAAAAGTCTAATAACCTTTGTTTGACTCCACTGGAAGGGAAAAAAAACCCCTGAAGTTATAAACCAGCCATTGTTTTTAAGCATTTTCTGCCTCCTTGGAGTTCAGCTCCTCAGTGCAGGCAGAAATCATGTCTCCTTTCAGCTCTGGTTCTGTTGCTCTGGACAAAGCTCTCTTAACTTCCAAAGACAGATTTCTTCTTTCCCTGATCTTCTCTGCATCTGCTTTAGTGGAATTCTATTACAGGTCATAATTATTCTGAATTAAAGATTATTTAGGTCCAAAACATATTCTTAGATTCTCTGAGCAACCTGGTCTAGTGGAAGGTGTCCCTGCCCATGGGGGGTTGGAATGAGATGAGCTTTAAGGTCCTTTCCAACCCAAACCCCCCTGTGATTCTGATCTGCCTTTTTTTGCTTCTGTGAGTTGCAGAGGGTCCATGTCTGGTAGTACAGGAGCCACCTGTTAACAGGGGAACTAGGAAGAAACTTTCTGGTGGGAAGTTTTGTCCATAATCAGCCATTCTGGGATTTCTTGCAGAGCACGTGTCTCTGGCCCCTGCTGGGAACAGGACACTGGTCTAGATGGACCACTGCTCTGATCTGGTGTGGAAATTCCCATGTTCCTCTTCAAAGTCGGAGTTTTTTATTAAATACTTGAGATTAATACCTCCAGGCATCTCCTTTGGGATTCTGTACTTGAATGAACAGCTCCTGACCTCTTTCCCTGCAGCAAGTCTCCACTGCAAGTCTAGACTTCCCAGGCACCGTGTCACAAATACCACTCCCTCTGGGAGCACAGGCTTGGGGGTAGTTCCAGAATGTGTTTTTTTCCTTGTGAGACTTCACTCCTGCTCAGCAGGTTTTGCTGCAGCTGATGCCAGGCCAAGGTGTAGCTGTGTGGGGTTTGGTCTTGTTCATTTTCATCCCTTCTGCTTTTCACACCCCTTTGTACTGAGCAGAACCAAAGCATTTTCTGGTTTTCTAAGTCATCAAGGAAAGTGTTTGGCTTTCCTTTCTTGTCCTCCTGCAGTGACAGCAAGGTTTTGAACCCTGGCACAGAACTGGTAGAACTGGTGGTCAGAAAGAATCTCACACCTCTTTATCTACACTTAAAAGAAAGGAAAAAAAAAAAAAAACCACTTTAAATTTTAAAAATTCTATGGATGGAATAGTCCTGGTATTTACTTCCCTGTCCAGCAGACTGATGTGCTCTGGTTGTTTTGCTGAAGGGTAACCAAGCAGGTACTAGAAAATTAATAGAGCTAAGTGGGAACAAGGTTAAAAAAAGGTTAAGCTGAGCTTGCAGAGACTGGACCATAAAACAGTATGTGTTTGTAAACAGAATTAAAACAAAATATATTCATTTAATAGATTTATGATTTATTGCAAAATACACAGTTTAATTTCACGAGAGGAGCCCAAGGATGAAATGGTAATATATCCTAGATCCTAAATGTTTTCCATGGAGGCTTTCATATGAGAATGAATACTAAAAGGTGCTTCAGGCATCCCTCAAAAACTAAACTTCACAATTAAACTTCCCATTTTCTACTGCCCTCATCTTGAGTTTTAACTCAAGTATGAGATGTGCTCACCTGTTTGTCCCTGCATGTGATGATACTTTGGGTCCTGGCTGGGGAAGTGTTTTAAGTATTGTTTAAAGCCTTCTGTCTCCCTCTTCCTCCAGATGACCTGCTCAGACAACTGCCTGCAGAAGTATTTAAAGATGACCCAGAGGATCTCCATGAGATTCCAGGAGTACCACATCCAGCAGAACGAGGCTCTGGCAGCCAAGGCAGGACTGCTCAGCCAACCTCGTTAGAGGAGAGCCCTGTGCTCAGACTTACCAAGCTGTGCCAGAACACAGCTGGGATTTCCTGCTGCTGGGATGTGTGTCCAGCAGCTTGGAACAGAGTTCCAGGTACTGCTCAGACAGTGGGATCCATGAAGGGTTAAACAGGAAGTCAGTCATGGTGGCCTGGCCATGGAGTCTGTCTCCGAGGTCCTTCTCACTCCACAGTGATGTGGATACAACCCTTCCCAGGGCCCACAGACTGGTGTGTTTGAATTCCAGGGGTGGTGGGAGGGTTAAACTGCCTTTTGCTGGGACTGGTTGAGATGAATCAATGGAATATGGGAAATACACTTTTTTATTTAATTCAAATAAAATCAGTGGGAGCTGGACCCAGGTTTGTATGTTCTTTCCAAAGATCCATTTTTGGGACACTGGGAGGAGCAGTTGTGTTTGCTGGGGGCTCAGCTCCTACAGAGTCATGTTCCTTTAGTGCTGCTTCAAGGTGCTGACAGATCCCAGAGTGGGCTCAGGCAGGGCTGCTCTGCCAGCTTTCCCCCGGGGTATCTTTGCCTCCTGCTTCACCCTGTCATTCCCAGGGACACAGGGTGTCATTAACATCACTGGTGCCCCAGGCAATGCCTGGGCACTCCTGGTTTCCCTCAGGGAACCCCACAGGGTCCTCCAAACCCAGTCCTGGCCTGAGGCACTCCAAGCACTGAGCCTGCTGCTGGATGAGTCCAGGGAAGTTTGGGTTAGCAGACACCCCAGTCCTTTGAAAGGACCCTGAGAGCTGCAATCCCTCCCTCAGGCCATTGCTGCAGGGGAATGGTGGTGAACAGGACATGGTGCTTCAGTTCTAACTCACAAAACACAGGGACAAAGGGAACATCAGGATCACCGGTTCTGAGATTCCAGGTGATGAAGACTGAACCAAAGCTGTTCCACACCAGCTGCCTGAGAGGCAACACAAGGAACAGAAGTGGCAGGAACTGTCACCAGGCTTTTGTGTTGTTCCCTTCTCCAGCTTATTTCCAGCAGCAGTTTGAATGAATACTTTCCTCCCTGTTTATTCCATCTCAAACTCTCAGCTGTCCAGGCTGTGGATTACAGGCCCCGATGGCAGCACAGTGCACCTGCCCCTTCCACCAGACACTGGTGTTTAAAACTGCCCCAGCTCTCCTGGAATTCTGTTCCTGTGCCTCCCAAAGGTGGAAGAAACCAGTATGATCCCACAGTCTTGCTGTAGCACAGCTTTTCCTTGTTACCTTGGAGATGGCCAAGAGCTCACTCTGAAATGGTGAAGCCTAAAAACCAGCCCAAATAAGGCAGCAAGTCTCCAATATCCTGGTTTTTAATGGAATAACGGGCTAACAATGTCCAGGTTGTTTGCTGCAATCAGGCCACAAATGTTATGGCCATTAGAATCAACAGATCCATAGTAAAGGGTGAAGGCTTTCCTTAAAGCTGGCATTTGTTAAACATTTGGAAGTAATCCATGATGGAGAATTTCCATTTGATCTTTATGTGCAAAAGGTGCTCAGAAAAGTGACTAAAGAGGTTAAGTGATGGAACTGGAGGATTTTCACATCTCCTGGGCAAAGTGCCTTGAAGTTGAATTTAGGGGGGTTAAAAAAAATTATGGTTTTCCCTCATTTCAGTATTTGGGGATAGGAAAATAGTTAAATATTTATTAATACAGCTTTCAAGTACAAAAGGTTAAGCAAGTGTTAGAGTGACTGAGTTCATAAATTACTCACTTTCAGCTCTGCATAACTAGTTTTGTCCAAGCTCTGTTTCACTCCTGAAGTGTTGTAATCTTTCAAATCCAAGTGACTGGTTGAATACAGATGATACAGATACATTTCAGCTTGGAAACAAAGTGCATCCATGTAACTAAAGCATCCATGTGGTGCAGGAAGCAACAGGGAAAACTTCCTTAACAGATGAACTTGCTTTGCTGAGGTTTAACTTCCCTTTGCTTCCATGACAAGTTGGCACATCCTGATGGCCCCCTCAAATTGTGTCACTGGAAAAGATCTCCCAGTACCTGTGTTTTCTCTCCCAGAGGTACATTCCAACCTCCATGACATGATTTAATCTGGAATGGTCTCCATCCCTCTCCACTGACTGGTTTGGGTTGGAAGGGACCTTAAAGCTCATCTCATTCCAAGCCCCTGCCATGGGCAGGGACACCTTCCACTAGACCGGGTTGCTTCAAGCCCCGTCCAACCTGGCTTGGAAAAATTCCAGGGATGCTCTTCTGAAATAGCCTCAAGTTCACGTGGCATAATGAAGTGCACAGCCAAAAGCAGAATAAAAATGGGATTATGGCTTAGTGCCTGGATCCTGAGGGAAAGGCAGCAGCACTTCAGCTGAGGTGTGTGGGGAGGAGGTGAATCAGCACTCCTGAGGTGCAGGAATGGAACCAATTCTGAAGGAAGGAGGAGCAAAGGGTGAGAAACAGTGTTGCTGAGGAAGGAATACTGAGAAAGCTGTGGAAAAAGTGAGCCAGAGGGGAGGTGGGAGGGGAGGGAACGGGAGGGCAGCCTGCCAAAAACTGGCTGGATGAAACTGAGCTGGTAAACAGACACTCACTGGGAGCTGTTCACTGCAGCCGAGACAGGAACACGGATCCTTCCTTCCCAAAGGAGTGTCTGCACCCAAAGGCTGGAAACACACACAATTCCTGTCAGCCCACAGGGAGCAGAACCATTCCAGCAGGAAGGGTCAAAGCAGAGCCTTGTTCCAGAGTGCCCCGGACATCAGCAGTGCCGCCAGAGCCATCGGATCAATCAGCTGGAAGATTATAATAGAGGCTCCTTGGATTCTGTCCAGGATAAAAGCAAAGCCCGAATTTATGTCATCCCCTGCTGAGAGGCTGCAATGGCTGAGCTCTGTTGGGAGGCAGGAAAAGGAGCTGCTGCAGCCCCCTGTGAGGGAGTGGGGGTGAAACACCAGCGTGGCTGTGCTTCAGTGCAGGGAGGCAAATCCCCGGCTCTTGGACATACCTGGCTCCGAGAACTGGAGCTCAGCAACAGCTCTTTTTTCAGCATTTCTCTTAGCTGGGTTAGGAAGTCAGCACATGGCATTTGAGGAATCTCGTTAACTCTTGGGAATCCGTTAAGCTCAGCTCCCAAATTCCTTGAATGAGTGTGGCCCAAACTGTAAAACCTGTAAAAGCAATTAGAGCTTGTGACACTTAAACCTGAGCCTGCACCCTGAGTTTCCAGCAGAGAGCATGGAAAGAATTCCACAAAGTTACAATTCTGCTTTATCTTAGAATGTTTTAAAAGTTGTGTTTTACCTTAACTCCATACTCCTTATTGTTTTGGTGTCGGGCTCCGTCTGTGAACACCCAGGGAGCATTCAACATTCAAGCTTTAGTAGTTCAGGCTGTAAAATGATGGTCACATCTTTTCCCAGGATTTTTCACCCACGGAAACAGATGCAACTGAAAGACATTCAAAAAGAGCCTAAATTGGTCTTAAAATAAATGTCTACACTTACACAGTGCTTGAACAGCCCGTGGCTGGTTACAGTTTTTTATCCTGTAACTCTTTTCCTCTAATCCAAGGGAAGGTGAGAGGGCTGCAGGGGGAACTGGGCTCGCTGTACATATCCAAGGAAGTGCACCTGACATATCACCAGTTGTTTGTGTAACACAGCAGGGAGCTTATCTAAATTTCAAATAATTAAAGCAGAAATCCAGTTGGGGCTATTTCTGTGTTTTACAGATCCTGCCCTTGCTGGGAGGTAGAACTGGATCCTCTTTCCCTCTCCTTCCACCCAAGCCCACGGGTCATTCCTGTGTGTGCTGCTGCCCCAGGGATCTGCCAGGAACTCCCAGGTGTGGCTGAGGGAAACGGGTTTCAAGGCTTCGCAGCCAGGGACGGTCTAACCCCCCTAATCAGTAGGAAAGGGGTGCTGGCCACCTCTCCTGCTCTTTTTTCTGCTTGGATCTCTGGGAGAAAGTGCTTCTGTGTCCCACAGAATACTTGGATTCCCTGGGGACGGTGGCCGGGCCTGAGGCAAAGAGCTGTGGGACCTCAGTGCTGTCCCCTCCTCCCTTGGGACCTGGTGGCTCTTCCGGCCCCTTTGTGGGGATCCCCATCCACTGATCACCCTGGGGATTGTCCCTTCCCCTCTGGGGTCCAGCACGATGGTGATGGGAACGGTGAGTTCTTCACAATAACTCAGGGAGAACGGACGTGTACAACATTTTTACAGCAACAACTGGAATTCGATCACAGGAAATCCATTATTGATTACCTTTTCAAATTAAACTGTTGTTATATTTCTGTCCAGACTGCACCAGGGTGGCCAAAAGGCACGGGGAGGTGGCTGGGTCACACCACAAGGCACCTGGGGCACCAGGAGCAGGATCACACCCTGCAGTGTTCTGAGGCACGGAGTCTCCCGGGGCACCAGCGAAGCTCAAAGCCTGCAGTGAGTGACCTGCCAAAATGCACATAGGGGCTGCCTGAGCCTATGGAAAGGCAAAGGGGAGTCCTGGGGCATCCCAAAAGGCTGCTGCTCAGCAGGGTGTTCCCTGGATGCTGCCTTGGCAGAAAAGCAATGAGACATCAGAGGGAGGTGGGTGATGGGGACCGGGCAGGTGGGATGTGCCAGAGCCAGGACCAGCCAAGGCCTTGGATCAGGAACATGGAGGACAAGGACTGACAGCCCATGTGGAGAGGAAAGCTGGGCAGGCACCAAGGGGCCTCTGCCCCTTCCCCCAGCCCAGGAGGCTGAGGTGGGCTTGGCCACTGGGGAGGAAACAAGGATAGACTGAGCCCCAGGGGAACAGAGCCTGCCTGAGGTCTGATTCCTGGGCTAGTGATGGTGTCCCTGTCCATGGCAGGGGCTTGGAACTACGTCATCCTTAAAGGTCCCTTCCAAACCAAACCATCCTGTGATTCCCCAGAGAAAAGAGAAGAAAATATGGGTTGATTTGGAAGAGGAGACAACACATTTCACTGCTTGCCCACACATCCCTGGGGAAGGCAGGATGTTGCAGGGGACATGTCCCTGTGTGCTGGGACATTCCAGCAACAAAGGCTTTATGTGAAACCAGCTCCAGGCTACATGTAACACCAAATGATTGTTCAAAGACATAGAGATGTGTTACCCTGCCCAGGGATGCTGCAAAGTGTCTCTGAACCAAAGAGAAACCACACTCATGATAACTGTTCAGAGTTCTCCAAAGAAAAACCAGGAAACAACGAGAGCTGCAGCAGCAGCAGCCAAGCCTCAGTCACAAAAATCAGCCCCCTCCTGCACTGCCTGTGAATAACATTCCTGTAATTATTCCCACAGGATTAAGTGGGGCTGCTCTCACAGTCTTGACTTAAACACACTCAAATACCTGCACAGACCAACATAAAATATTGCTCCTTATTAGTTCCACTGCCAAAGCACTTCCCTGTCAGAGAGGGGCTCTCCTGCCCACCTCAGCCACTGCTCCTGAGCTTCTGCCCCTCCCTCCATGCCACTGGGATGGCACACAGTGGTCCTCTGCAGGGTGGGAAGCAGAACATGAGCTGAAGGAATCAAGGGCTTTTTTTTTTTTATCTTCTATTTTTTCCCCCTTTTTAAATAGCTTTGCACTTTCCCATGCACGAGGGAAGTCATTTTCAGGAAATAAAAGAGCATCAAGAGAGATAGTTTCGAGCTGCACATACACATAAACAACTGCCTCGTTAAAAAAGAAAGAAAAACCACTCTTGTGCAAAATAACAAAGTGTTCCACACAAATTCCACATCTTACCCCTCCTTATGAAACTGGCATAGCTGGCAGGAGCTTGGCAAATTAGGTCAAGCTGTACCCAGATGAGGGATTAGAGGAGGAGTTTAGAAATAGCTGAAGACACCGCCTGGGATGGGAACGTGGTCAGGGTTCCTCTGAGGAGCAGAGAGAGACATCACCAAAAACACAGCACTGTCCCTCCCCAACAGGCTCAGGGGGAGAGTTAAGCACGGGAGTGACAAACCTGCAGGTTTTCACAGAGCTCTGGGGCAGAGCTTTGCTGGAAACACTGAAACAGAGCCAGTGAGGCTGCAAAGCTGCTGTGGTTGCTGCACTGAGGGAGCTGTGCTGGGAGTTAAGGCCAAAGACACTTTTTCATGTTTGTGAACTATTGGTACAGCAGAAGCAACAGCACAGGGGTTTTAACTGGGGTGAACAGCAGGGAGCTGCAGCAGCACCAACCAGCACAGCCCTGCTCTGAAACAAAGCAGGGCTCCTCTGGAATGGGAAGGAGCAGGAATAGCAACATAAACAGCAAAGATAATTCAAAACAAAGACACCAGAAAAGCCCTGTTCTTAGCAAGGTCTGCTTTCACAACTAACTCTGCCTTATCTTTTCAGTTTTCCTTCAGTGACCACACAGTGTTTGTCACTGGGCTGTGGCTGATCACGAAACCCACCACTCCAGGCACTAAAACCAGCACATCCTCAGACCAGTAACACTGCAACACAAAAACCTGAACTTCCATATTCCTCCAAAGCAATGGATGGGACTAATAAATCCCTGTGGAATTTGGGGAACTCGCAGATCTCCAAAACCCCATTAAATCCCAGGTATTTAGTGGTAACTAATAAAGGTGAATAATTTTAAACTCTCACAGAGACCATTTAAAAAAACCCATCCTATTTGGTGTTAGGTAATATGGGAGGATGACAGGTTTTCTCAACATTTGAGAGCAATAGCTTAATAGTGTGAGCTAGTTTTAAAATGTCTTTTTCCTAAACCCTGGAATTACAGTGAGTCAGTCTCTGGCAAACATCCCCTTTGGTTCCACTGCTTTATGATGTTCCTCACATCTCCAGAGGTGGCCTTTATCCTGCAAATAATAAAATCCCAAGTACAGAGAAGTAAAAATAACCGAAATTTTAGTGCATAATTTCTGTAAAGGCAAGGGCACAGAACAGCTCAATAAACTTTTATTAACAGATTCATCTTTTGTCTCTGCTGCTAAATCTGGCTCTCAGCTCATGTCAGATTTGTTTCAAGCCATCAAACCAAACCTGCTCTTTTCTTAAAAAGAAGACAACAGCACTTCTCAGACTCACTGCTGTAAAAGAATTCCAGTAGATGCTGCCCAGAAAATCCATTTGGCTGCCTCAGCCACCCAAGAATATTTTTAATGGGGAAAAGAAGAACATGTTATAAGAACATTCATTTTTTTTAATGTGAAATTCCACCTGGCTGACAAACCTGTCTGGAGAGAGGATTTCTCAGCAGTGGATGGTCTGACTGAGGCACAGGAGTTGACAATCCTAAGATTCAGATTCTCTTTCCAGGTCTGCATCAAAGCCTTCCTGAGTAATTCTGGCAGCCTTTACTACAAGGCCCCCTCTACATAAAACAATATGTAGCTATTTTTAAAATTTCTGTCTATTCTAATACTGCACCCTTTAAAAAAAAAATTACAGACTCAAGTGTGCACATTAACACAAAAAGTGATTTAATCACCTTTCCTGCTGCTGTCCTTCAAATTGAAGATTTTCTGCTCCCACGAAGGTCAGACATGTTTTACTTTGTGAAGACACAGATTCTTTGCCCTTGTTATGCTTTCCTTTCACTGATAATTACTACTGGAAATCTGCTTAACCTCTGTTGAAATAATGGCTTGTTATTATTGTTCTGACATCTGTGCTTCTCCTGCCTCAGCTGTTCAGGCAGATTAAGCAAGAGAAAGTTTCTCAGACACACGAAATCTGATGGAGGAGCCAAAACCAAGCAGAGATTTAACTGGGTGTTGCTAAACTTTCGCATTAGAGAGAAAACAGAAACTCACCAGTACAACATGCAGCTGACACACTTTATGGAAAGAAAGTAAAAACCAAAACAAGTAGGAAAATGAATCTTTTCTTACCTTATACTCTTGCATGCAAAGTTTCTTCCAGTTTTCAGATATATGCTCATATGAAAGTAAGAACTCTGCCAGAAATCTGACAGTTCTTTGTATCAGTTGCAGGAGGTGAGGGAAGAGTCCAATTTTCTTACAGCCCTGTTCTTTTTAACAATTTTAACAGTATTTGATACCATAATTTTGTTCTCACCTCCTAAGCAAGCTTGAAATAAAACAAGTATCATTTTTGGGAAAAACTGTAGATCAGGAGGTAGGAGAACAGCACCAACACTGCCCAGAGGATGCCTGATTTTTGTTTGCTCTTGCAAACACGATACCTAATAATCCCTTCTTTAAAAAAATCCCAATTCTGTTTAATCATAATTCTGTGTCTTCAACAACACAAGCTTTCATCCAAGGCAATGGAAGATGCTTTGGAATTTGTCAACAAAGCATCTATAAGGGGATTATAGTAAAGTTATAAATCATAGATTTTATTAGGGTTTCTTCTTGATTTCACCTTTAATCCAGGATAACCCAGTGATACCCAGTTAATCTTCTCTTCCCTGTGGTTTTTTAAACATGACAGGAAACTACCTTAAACATCTACTGACTAAACTGGTTAAATGTTATGCTCCTTCCCAGAAGGATAAAATCAGTGGAAGTCCACCTTTTTGCCAGTCCACCTTTTCCTGCAGGTTTTGTGTCCTGCCAGAATAATGCTGTGAGTTGTTTTTGGGGGTGTGGGTGTTTCCATGAGACCAGTGCGAGGTGAGCAGGTGGGAAGAGCAGTAAGGAAGCAAATTCTCTACGTCAAGGAGCAATCACCCCTCAGAATGGTTTCCATGTCTTATGGAATCATACCTTCAGTTTTCCATGCAGTGTTTTAAACACTCCTAAGAGACAGGGAGCAGCAGTCAGCTGGGAACACACACTGGGACGGGCTCAGCTCCTCCATCCTCTGTGCTGAGTATGTGCATGTGCCTGTTTGAGATCTCACAGTGTGGAGACAGGTTAGATATCTGCACAAGATATAATTAATCCTGTTATTTCACCAGATTTTCAATTTCCTTCTGCAAATATTAAACATGTGACCCGTGTTACTTCCTTTTGAATGAGTATAGCTTTTTATTCGTAGCTATTGTAAGATTAACAGTAAAAGTTAGCTCTTAGGAAAAAGTCTTTACAGTAATTTATGGAGATCAATTTTCCTATTTAGGTTAAGCCCAGACATTTACAAGAACAATCACTTAAATAAAAATAGAATATAAAGCCTATGTTTAAAACATGGCCTTTATTAGCGCTGTCTAGTGAGCTCCATTATTTATCTTACATTGAAATAGTTCTGCTTTGCTTAAGAAAAGACAGAAAAAGTGCATTTACAAGAGTACTTTTTCTTTAATTT